TCACACCTTCACTCTCAACACACACCAAAAGCTTATTATCTTCTAAGCTTTCTTTGCTTTCTTCTTCGCCTCCTTCCTTCAATAGCTAGATTCTCTTTTTTTTGTTTCTGTTGTTCCTGTTCATCCTTTAATAATTTGTGCAAACTACTAAGGAAGAGTCTATTGAATCTTGAAGGATAACCACTACAGTCCTTTTGCACCGAGTTTTATACTCCAAATGGACAGAAATTATCCTCAAGGACAGTGATATCACACCTCAGACTTTTTTTTACTATTTTTACTTATTTTATTTTATATTCCTCGTTTTCTATATCACCTTCAACAGTATGTTCTCCTGGAATTCCAAAAAGCAGGAACTTGTCTCACAGTCATCTTCGGAGGCTAAAAATATAGCTGCTGCTTCAACAGTAAACAATGCTTTATGCTTGAGAAAGGTGCTAAATGATTTAGGTTTTATTCAAACAGAAGGAACGGTGCTGAAAGTAGACAATCAATTAACAATTGCGATTGCCAAAAACCTAATTCAACATGGAAAGACAAAGCATATTTGAGTAAAGCTTCATGCTATCCATGATACAGTAAAAAAATGATGAGATTGAGTTGGAATACTACAAAACGGATGAACAAGTTGCTGATATACTCACTAAGACACTCAGCAAGGAGAAGTTCATCACTTTAGGCACCAAGTTGGGAGTGCTCATGGCAGATCCCATGGAGGTGTGTTGAAGATGGGAGTCTGCAATGAGGAAATTCTTGGTGCTAAAATGTTTAAAGCAGTTGGAGAAGAAGAACACGTGATCTTATTTGTTTTCAACTTGAATCTCTATAGTATTGTATATTTTATTTTCTTGTATCAGCATAGCCTGTGAGCTATCAGGTATTAGCTGTAGTTGGCATTTGGCATTTGTTGATTGCAAGCCACTGTCCAGCTAGCAGACAAGGTGCAATATGGACCTGCAGTGCAATTGCCCTGTCCTATTTGTTTTTATTTCCTCTAAAGGGTGGTTACATACCACACCATTTCACAAAATGAAGATATTCCAGCTACTGTCTTCTTTATTGAGCATTTGGTATTTTTACTCTGTTTTTATGTTTGAACTATGGCTAATTTTCTCTATGAAATTCTTCAATACTTTTATTTTGTATCAAATATACTCTTATAATTAATGTTTAGTTAATTATCATTAGTCAAAATATTACTTGTCATTTTATATTCATGTAATATTGACATAAAATGTGAAAAATGTTTCTTAATCAGGTCATCATATTATATCAACATGTTCTATCATCATTTATTATGTCAGTATCGCATGGTATAAAATAACAAATGACATTTTGACTAATAACATACAGGCAACCATTATTCGTAAAAGCTTATTGGACTGAAAAAAAAAAGGAATTGGATTGAAAGGTAAAAAAAATAAAAATTTATTTAAATTTTTTCAACACCATTTAAGAGAATTTTTTTTAGTTATTTTCATAAATAAATGACATTTCAATTATAAAAAAAAATAAACAACAAAAAGATGTACGGGATATTTCTTGTTATTGTACGTAATTAAATCAGGTGAACAATGGACAAATGAATCAAGTCAAGCCACGGGGAAAAGAAGATGCATGGGCATGAAATTATATGTCTAACCAAGCAAAACGAAAGGTTCCATCAATGGCAAAAGTCAATCTTCTCATGTTAATATTATCTAAACGTAAACTTTTATTGAAAAAATAAACAAAATTTTGTCACGTGTAAAGGATTCAATTCATTGATCATCATTGGTATGGAGTCCATTGAGTTTGAATATTGGATAGTAGTAGTACTATTAATTTCCCACATGCGAAATTTTCATTTTCTTATTGGATATTGCAAAAAATATCAGGGTACAAGTCCCTTTCCCACCTTCCATTCATGGCTCAGGAATTTTCACTTTACAAAATCTCAATTATTACTTTCTTGTTCGATAGTTATGGAAATTTCTGGTTCACATGGCTGAGCTGTTTTTAGCAATAAAATTGAAGAGAAAGGGAGCAATTTGAGTCTAGCACAGCGATGGTTTGCCCATTAACAAGAGCATGGAAACTGACAGCAACAACCAGTGGCTATTGTTCTAACTCCATGGCTTTCTTCTTATCCACTACATCCAACCCACAAAATAGAAGGCAGAGTTTGACTGTTTTGTCTTTTGATCCCACATCTTCATCTTCTGTGAGCTCTTCTTGCTCTAATTCTCCTCTAACTGTTTACTCAACCAACAAGAAATATGTGCCAATTGCAAGAAGCGATGCTGGTTGTTTGACCGATGTACATAGTGATGACAAAGTTGAGAAAGAAACATCCACAACAAAGAATGTGGAGATTGAAGAAAAGTTGGTGGTTAGAAAGCAGCCTTTGTGGCAAAAGCTTATGTTTGCATCCAAGAAGATCAGGAGTATTGTCTTGCTCAATTTCATCACCATTGTTTATGGTATGTTTCTGCTTTCAGTTTTGCTTATAAGCAAATTAGATGCAATTGGACTAAGTATAGTTCAAAAGCTAAACACTAAAGGAACTAAAACTATAAAATTGGTAGGTAAGAATCAGACAATAAGTTTAAAATTTAAACTTATCAGTGTGACGGGATACTTGAACTTTGCTACTATTCTTCTGACAAAGTGAATAGATTCTTTGTTAGGATTGATTACCTTTCGGTAGCCTAATTGTGGAAATAGATGAGAATAGTTCATTCAGCCATGGTAATTGTTACTTCAATTGTCCTGCCTCCCTGCCTCTATGATAACGTTTGGTGTCCTATACGTATGTGCAATCGTTTTAATCAAGAAAATAGCAAGAGAAATGGCTTAATACAGAACCATTTGGCTAAAAGTGATGACTATGATGCTGTGTTCCGCCTGGCTTTGGCTCTAGACAATTCGATTTCTTAATTGGAAATCAAGAATTGAAGTGTTTCTAAGATTTACATTGGTGTCAAATTCTGCAGCAAGTGATATTCCAGTTATAAAAACAGTTGAAACTATAATGGACCCGGCACCCTTCTCCGCTGTGCGGTTTGTCGTGTCAGCCATACCTTTCTTGCCATTTATGCTTCGGGCTCGAGATGATGTTCATATCCGCAAGGCAGGGATAGAGTTGGGACTCTGGGTCAGTTTCGGCTACTTTGTTGAGGCACTTGGACTGCTAACGGCTGATGCTGGGCGTGCATCATTTATTTCTCTGTTTACAGTAAGTTCTGTGTTTTGACTCTGTACGTTGAAGTAGGCCTTGCAAATGATATCACTAAGGCTCCTCCATTGTTGCACTATTCTAATCCTCTATCGCTAATAAATTCTTTCTCCAGGGAAGACTTCATACTTGAAAAGGTCTTTTCTTTCAAGTCCTACTAGTAAGACTTAATCTAAGAAAGTAACAGGAATGAAGACCGATGATACCTTCTACATTTCATTATTCTCTCAGCTTGGAGTGCTAGTAAAATAGCTATGTATTTTCCCAGCATGCATGAACACAAATCTTCATGATTTACTTTTGAGAATGCAAGTCCATTTATAATCAATTCCCGCTGCTGCAACAGGTTATCGTGGTAGCAATGCTTGAGAGCATGTTAGGAGCTATAGTACCTGCTCGTACTTGGTTTGGAATTCTCATGTCTGCACTAGGTGTCGCAATGCTGGAATGTAGTGGCTCCCCACCCAATGTAAGCAGTATATGGTTTTCTTTTTTAACTGCATTTTTTTTATGCTTATAAGTTACAACATAAAGAAAACCCTAAAGATGAAGACATTAAGAAGATCTCTTTCCTCTCTTAATTTGACTGTATCTTGCTCCTTTCAGTTTGGAGATCTTCTAAGCTTTTTGAGCGCTATATTTTTTGGAATTCACATGCTCAGGACTGAACATCTTTCAAGAAGCACAAAGGAGGAGAACTTCTTGGCACTTCTCGGATATGAGGTTTGTCGCTGCACTGTGAATGGGACTACATTCATATATTTCATTTCTTTCTAATTGTGTAAATAATGGATCATTCAGCATTCAAGCAATGCAATAATTTTTATGGTTTCTTTTAGGTCTGTGTTGTTGCTCTGTTTTCAACGCTCTGGGTTGTAATTGGAGGATGGTTCGATGGCACACAAGATTTCGATAAATCATCTTGGACATGGGAACTGCTGTGGGACTGGATGGTTGCCTTCCCCTGGGTTCCTGCACTATATACCGGCATATTCTCAACCGGATTGTGCCTGTGGATAGAGGTATTTTTTTCATTTTCTGGTAGTTATTCATGTACAAAGAACAAACAAGGATCAGCTCCGAAATGGCTCTCATTAGCAGCTCAAATAATTCCTTATTTTCAATTGCTTTTACAATATCGAATAACATATAATGCTATAAATTTAAGCAGTAACAGCGTAAATGACAATCGGTTGCGTTTCTTAAATGTTTCTACTTTGTAGCCTGCTGCTGGTCTGATGTTCTATATAATCACTTATCCTAGGTGGTAAAGCATTAGCAGCATGCTTCCAGTGCATTTCATATTGATCTTCTTTATAACTACTAACTCTCAACCAGTACATCCTGACTCAATAGAAGTAAAGAAAGGATAGAACAGAAAACAATCATTGAAAAGATGATATACATGGACTGCAAGCCATGTAATCAATATAATCCTTGAGCAAACCTGCATCCTATAACCTTCAGCCAGCCTCACGGGGCAACAGTTTTGAGTTACACAATTTTTATGCAACCTCGTTTCATTTCTGATGGTGCTTTTCAGTGAATCACTTATGACAATCGTTTTTCCTTTTCTCTCCGCACAGATTGCTGCTATGCGTGAAGTGTCAGCAACAGAAACAGCCATTATTTATGGGATGGAGCCAGTGTGGGGAGCTGGTTTTGCATGGTTTCTCCTTGGCGAAAGGTGGGGTACAACCGGATGGATCGGGGCTGCTCTTGTGCTTGGTAAGTGATATTCATTTTACAATTTAAGCTTGTGTGTGATGAAGTTGTTTGTTCACATTCAGAAAACATAATTGCATCAAAATGCTTCCCTAGTTCACTACTTTGCTGAATGTCATATCAATAAAACAAGGATTTGCTTCCCATTTCATGTTTAGCTTTCATCTTGCATTGGGCATACCTTCTTTCACTAAAGGCAGCGAAACTGATTTAGTAAAATCGTGGTAGGTGGAAGCTTGATAGTGCAGATATTTGGATCCTCTGATACAAAGGGGTCTGTAGAGGTTGAAAGAGGAAATCAGAAAGGAAACCTCCTGCTGGTTTCAGAAGTGGACAAAGGAAAATTACAGAAAAAGCTATCTACTTCACCAATTGTTGTCAGATCCAGAAAGGATATGATGGATATGTTTTAAGTGATCCATCTCACAATTGTTTTCCCAAATATATAACTTGTTGCTTATATTGCTATAATTTATGTATTATGTTGTATATATATAAAAGAATTCTAAATTTTTCACTATTCAAGTTAATTCAAATCAAGATATAAAAGAATTTAAGGGCTTTTGCCATGTTCATACATTAATGTTGAGAGATAGTCTTGAATTCTAGATAGATTAACACACTTTGTTAAGGTAGCCTTGAAATCTAGCTAGACTACGATGAGACTCATAGTTAGACAAACATAAAAACTCTTGTACATAACTCTATAAAAGGATCATGTGGAATTAGAAAATATGATTAAGCCGAGAAAGTATTTTGTGAGAGTGTAGATTTAGAGTATGAGAGATTTGGGTATAAGTGAGAAAAGGGTTATGAGTATGACATTGGTCTATTAAACCCTTGATTTCTTCTTTATGAATTTTTTTTTTGACTGTAGACGTAAGTTATCAAAAAACAATCATGTAAATTTCTTATATTTTTGTGAATGAACTTGATTTTTTTTCTTTTTTATCTTCCTAATTATGCAAGATCTTGAGTGACCTTTCGAGATTATTCCATTATTTTTCTCAATAATTTGTATGCACAATAAGCTTTTCCTACTTCCAAAAGTAGAAGACCTCTATCATTTAACATCAGTGGGAAATTTTCTTATCCTTTAATACTTAAATTTACAATATTTGCTCTTGCATCAAGCAATATATAAGTTCATGACCCTTACAATATTTCATATGTGAAGGGAGTAGAAGTGACCATGAATTATTTGTCCTTTTCTCGATGGAAATGAGTGATAGATTTCCACCCAAAAATACAAATGTTGGAACACATCGTTGGGAAAAAGCCCTCCAACCAATTAAATTGGTCAAGGCTTAAAGCTTATCATGCAATCATTTCATTCATAATGAATGATTAAAGGTTTTTATTCATCAATAAGACTATGTTTCTTAAGTTTATTAGATGAAGTTTATGAGATTATTATACATTGTAAGGAAATTATAAAACGGTACAATAATGAGATCTCTATGTATCAAAGCATAATCTCTATATTGTTCCTAGTTGATGTATCATTGAGACTGGACATCAATGACACTTAGAGACTGATACATTTTATATTCTTTACTTGAGAAATAAGCAATTGATTGAAGTACTAATATACCTAAAACTAGAATGTAGGTGGAACAAATTCACTGATCAGGACCTGTTGTGAGGATTTGATTTGGTATTTTACTCTAATTCTATAGAATATATCCTCATGTGATAGTCGTGTAAGTGATCCCTCGACCTGTGACACTAGGTTATCTTGTATGAAGATTGTTATACTTTGATACCATTTTATGAGGTGCTAACCACAGATGCTTAAAGTGATGGTCATTAGGTATAGCATGAGACATATGAAGGCAAATTAGTGACCTAGAGAGGATTGATCATGTTAAGTGAAAGGGACATATTCTATTTGTGTCTTTGATAAGCAATAACTTATGTAAATCTCTGGTCATGGTGGAATGAAGTTTTTGAAAAAGGGGTTTTTCAAATTTCATTCAAAGTTATACTTAGCAAAGAGCTAATATGGAAAAGCCTAAGTAGTAGACACTACATTATGCTTTTTGTCTTTCTGGGATATATGGTGAAGGGATTGAATTGCAATGAGAGATTGATCACTGAAAGGTTTGACTCTTCTAACATTTAGGTGGCTATGATAAGTTGCTAGATCTCACTCTTAGTCTATAATTATAAGATGATTGATATGATCAATGATAAATTCAAACTAATTTAAATTTATCTAACCCTAAAATTAATTTATGGATTATATCTAAGATCATTGCTAACATATTGGAAGCTTAATGAATCACACACCTAAAATGAAATCCAGAAATAAAATGGGATGGGTGATTAAGTAAGACTTAATTAAGTTAGTAGTCATAACTACCAAGCACCTAATTGAAATAATTTAATTAAGTGGGGTTAATTTATAATTACATAAGAGTTATGCAATTTCCTATGCATGGGCTAAAATTAATCTTAACTGTATAAACCTAACTTTAGCCTCACTTTCAATGAGTATGAGAAAACACAAAACCCTAGCTACTCCATAACTAACCTTGGTAAGAAAAAGAAAATAGTTTTGTTCTTTTCAACATTCGGTCAAGGGATGTGCATGCACTTGAGAAAGTTTGATCCTTGTAATCAACCTAGCAAGCACTTTGTAGAGGCTAGAGTAATCCCAATCCTTGTGAAGGATTTTCGGAGATCATTGGTGTGGATTTTTGTTCAAGGTGGCATAAGAACCTCTTGAACAGCTTTGATTTGCTACAACCAAGCTTCGTGTGAGATTGATCAAAGGGCTGTTCGGGTGTTTAAATAAAGTATCCAACTTCCTTAATCTTTAAGGTTGATTTATGATCATATGCTTTGCATAATTGCTTAATGATATTCAAAAGGCCATTGAAAATGATTGGGTGGGTGACGCTTATTTTCTATGTTTTATTTTGTTTTGTCACATCTCATTTTCAGGACATAATCCGCACATGGACCTATGTGGGTATGACCCACTAGGCCCAAGCAAGCCTTAAATATCATGTGTGGACTTGTCACCCACCGTACTCATATATTTCCAATCACATAATAAAATCCACAAATAATTCAACAAAATCATATCATTATGGAACTTCTCAACATAATGTAGGATTTTCCTTTCACCATAGTGTTAACATTTGTCCGTGCCCATTTCCAAGGCTCAACACAATATTTACAATGATAAACAAATATAAGCATCTCAGTATTTATTTATATAACCAAGAATCAATTTAGTATCAACATAAACAGACTTGACTCGACACACTGCATAATGTAATGACTAGGAAGGTTGGAAGGAAGGTATTATCACACCTACCAAGTATAAGTTGAGCTATCACTCCATAAAGTGCCTAACCAAGCGAACTACGAATCTATACAAAAATAAGGGAAAATAGTGAGTGAGTCACGAAGACTACATGAGTGGATACAAGGAAAGGGACAAGCTAGGGGAAAAAAATTTTGTACAAATCATCAATTTGTAATAAGCATGCACCTTTGCATAATCATAAATTTCTCATTTAAACCTTAAAAACGAGATAGTCGTAAATCCAACAACATTTCTCCATATCAAATATCACATGTCAAATTCATTTATGAAATAAAAGATTGAGCATGTATGAAATCATCAACACAAAAAACAAGAATATTATTCATTACTGATATTAGTTCCCTCACAAGAGTTTATACCATATTCTAAATTTCCACCCCTCAAGCTTATAATGATTCGTACTCGAATTATATAAGATCTAATTCTAGGATTTACCACATAGCGTTTTCCATGCATATTGGTGAGCTAATAATTGGGGTTTAAGCATAGTTGTCTAAAATCCTTGTTGCCGATTGATCTTTCTCTTGGATCTTGGTTGTGTTTTATTTCTTCTGGAGAAAAGAAAAGTCAGATGTCTGTTTCCTAGTTAGTATTGAATTCTGCAAGCATAAGCAACCCCAATCTCTTTGGAGTTATTCTTGATTCTCATTCATGTAAATCACCATTTAGACAACTTAGGACTTGCAATAACCCCATCTTGATGTAGAGGATTGAAATTGTGCTAAATACCTGGTGATTTTGACTCCAATGACCGAAGGTATACCGTTCTTTATCCTCTAGCTGGAATTTATTTATGCTGAAACGCCAAAGTATAATTCTTACTCTGGAAAAAATTTAAAATTTTCATTGGGATTGTAGTTTGATTGCATGCCCTTTTTCCAACAAAATAAAGAATCAGAGAAACATAAAATGCAAGTACTGGAAGTGCCTAACTATGCATCAAGTAGCGGTAGCGGCAATTATGTGATGCAAGACAATGAAAGCAACATATAGTGATGATAAATATTGAAGATGCCGAGCATTAACACTAGGTTCATGAGATTTGTCAATCTCCTCATTACCTGCTATGGACCATCAAACACATGAAGAAACAGAGATGGAGTTCCTTACACTATAATCCATCCATTTTTCTTCCCTCCTATCAAATGAACGAAAAGTTATTTTCGTTCCACTCTTTTTCCTTCCTTAGTCTTTCCCTTTCACCGAACATATTGCTGTGGATTTTTTTTTCTTTATGCCACAATCACATATGCATTTGATGAATATCTTCACTGCATGAAGATCTAAAGTTTCAAAGATACAACAATACCGAAACTTAATACGGAACTCTTCCGATTCATGCCAATGCCATCCAAATCATTGCGCAAGGTCTAAACTTAAGTGCTAGCAAAACTATCATCAAACTTACCGGAAAGGGATAAATTATTCAAGTCAAAGGAAAGAGTACTTATTTCATAAAGATAGGATGGTTTAGTTCATAATGTCAGGCTATCAGCCATGAACCACAAACATCTGATTGCACCATGAAAGAGTTCCGACATACATATTGCCAACTGGAAACCTTTTTTTTTTATCTTTTTATGGAAAGGAAACTCACAAAAAGGCAACATAAGATGAGAATCAGGAATCAATTTTTCTTGGCAATGAAAAGGCCCCATCTCTGCTCGCCAGATGAGCTCCTTATCAGCTTGGCCTTCCATCCTCCAACTATATCATCATAGTCTTCCTGGATATTGGAAAAAGAATGAGTACCACTAGTGAAGGAGAAAAAAAAAATCTCTAGGTTATTAAAATGATGTAAACACTCACTTGAGAAAAGCTAGAGACGAATGCATCCTTGTTCTTCTCGACTTCATTTAATTCACGCTGCAGAACTTGTAGGAACTGAAACACAAATAAACTATCTGTTTAGTTCTGGAAGCCCAACACAGTTCATAATTTCACAAGTATGCAAAAAGGAAAAAAGGGATAGGTTTATCTGAACCTGTTCAGTTCGATCCTCTGCAATGACCTCATCAAAACCAGCATCGCTAAGCATCTGCAATCAATAGAAAAATTGCAAAAAGATAACTCATGATGTCAGAAATTGTTAATAAATAACACAAAGTACATGATAACAACAAATGATTATTAATTTGAACATACCTGGCCATATGCTTTTACATCATGGAGATCATACCCTCTCTGCTTGATGTACTCAGCAAATTCTGATGATGGAGTTCCAGCATTTTTGCAGT